CTAAAATTTTTTTTTATTTTTTTTTTTTTTTTTTTATAAAACTTTTATTTATTTTTTTTATTTATTTTTTTATTTTTTTTTTTTTTTTTATCTTTTTATTTATTTTTTTATTTATCTTTTTTTCTTATCTAAAATTCTATTATTTTTTCTATCTTTTTTATTATTTTTTTCTATCTATTTATTTTTATTTTAATTTTAATTTTTTCTATTTTTTATCTTTTATTTATCTTATTTATTTTTTTTTTTACTATTATCTTTTTTTCTATCTTTTCTATTTCTATCTATCTATCTATTAATTTTTTTTCTAAATCTATCTATCTATCTATCTATCTTCTTTTTCTTTTCTATCTATTTCTTTTTTTAATTTTCTATTATCTATCTATCTATTATCTATTATCTATTTTATCTATCTATTTATTTTCTATCTTCTTTTTATCCTATTTATCTTTAATTAAAATTTATTTTATTATTTTTTTTTTTCTACTATTTTTTTTTTTTTTTACTATTTTACTATTTTTTTTTTTATTTTTTTTAAAAAATCTTTTTTTTTTTTTTTTTAAAAAAAATTATTCTAAAAAATATTTTTCTATTTATTAATTTTTATTTCTAAATTTTTTTTCATTTACAAAAATTTTTATACTTTTATAATTTCTAAATATTTTTTTTTTATATTTTTTTTTATATCTTTTAAATTTTTTATTATATTTTTTTATACTTTTTTTTCTATTTATTAACTTTTATTTTTTCTACAAATTTTTTTCTAAAATTATTTTTATAAAACTTTTTTAAAAAAATTATTATCTAATATTTATTATATTATCTATCTATTATCTATCTATTTTTATTTATCTTTTTTTTTATATCTATCTTTATATCTATCTATCTATCTATCTTTAATTTTATTTTTCTATCTATTTATCTATCTATTATTTATCTATCGATTTTTATCTATTTTTTATTTCTTATTATCTATCTATATCTATCTATCTATATCTATTTATCTTATTATCTATCTATTTTATCTATTATCTACTATTTATTTTTTTCTATCTATTTTTTTTTTTTTTTAAAATCTATCTTTTATTATCTATCTATCTATCTATTTCTTATTCTAACTCTATCTATCTATCTATCTATTTCTATCTATCTATCTATCTATCTTTTCTATCTATCTTCTTCTATCTATAATCTATTTAATCTATCTATCTATTATTTTTTTATTATCTTTATTTATTTTTCTTCTATTCTATTTCTATCTATCTATTATTATCTATTTCTATCTATCTATTATCTATTTTTATCTAATTATTATCTATCTATCTATCTATCTATCTTTTTATTCTATTTATCTATCTTATCTATTCTCTATCTATTTATTATCTATCTTTTCTTTTATCTATCTATCTTTCTATTCTATTATCTATCTATCTATTATTTTATTTATTATTCTATTTTATTTTATCTATCTATTTTATTTCTATCTTTTAATTTATCTATCTATATCTTATCTATCTATCTATCTATCTATCTATCTATCTATCTATTTTTTTATCTATCTATTTTCTATTATTTCTATCTATCTATCTATCTATCTATCTTTTTTTTATCTATCTATCTATCTATATTATTATCTATCTATCTATCTATCTATCTATCTATCTATCTATCTATCTATCTATCTATCTATCTATCTATTATCTATCTATCTATTATCTATATTAATCTATCTATCTATCTATCTATCATCTATTATCTATCTATTAGAGATGAGCGAAGTATTCAATAATTCGATTCGACTGATTCGGCGAATTCGTGGAAAAAATTTGATTCGAGTCGAATATATTCGCTTTGAATTTAACTTATAATAGGGTGTTTCTAGGCTTCAGAGAGCCTTTATATTAGTGCAGAACACTGTACCTTTAATTTTAAATGCCTTGGAGTCTGCTGGGGAAGAAAATAATACTGTCAGTCAGTATGACATGCAGATGAGTGCCGTCGATCTTAGAATCACCGCACACTTCACTCATTTGGGCAGTCACGGGGCCCAAACCCCAGAGTGTGGAGCCACAGTGTGGCGGTGGAGGGCAGCAGCAATGGGAGGGCCATACAGCACCCTAAATGACAAACTAATGGAACCCACCAGCAGTGTGAGGAGACCTGAAAGTGGCACATGGCAGAGTGTGGCGATGGAGACAGCAGCAATGGGAGGCCGTACAGGGACCCACGCTGCTGGTGGAGCTGCCACTGCTCCTACCACCCCACCCCTCCCCTGCTTGCCATGGCAGCGGAACACACGAGCACGCACAGGGCCCACAGTGTCTGAGGATGGACGTTGGCACAGAAAGGCAGAGACCTAACTGACTACATAGGTGGTTTTTATAGTACTCTTATTTTTGGCCTCCCTCTCAGCAGGTGTGAAAAAGGCCACCATTTTGGAACGGTAGCGAGGGTCCAACAAGGTGGACAGCCAAAAGTCATCCCTCTGTACTGATGGTTATTATTTGGCTGTCGCTACGCAAGCAAGCGAGCATGCTATGGGCCATTTGTGCCAAGGAATGCGAGGGACTCCCTGCCTCCTTCTCCACAGCATACTGCCACGGTGTGTCTGGGTCCTCTGTCTCCTCCTCCTCCTCCTCTACCAGATGCTCTCCTGCTCCTCCACTCCTGTCCGCTGAGTGGAAAAACCACCCATTTCACTCAATAATTCCTGAGCACCAATGTCCTCCTCTACCTCTCCTCCTCTTCTTCCTGTCCTGCCCCCACAGGGGTCATGTGGCGTTGAGATCTGTGCGCCACGTCTACCTAGCACCCTGACCAGTCATTGTTAACAGCATTTGTTCCAGGACGTGCAATAGAGGAATGACGTCGTTCATCCTATAGTCCTGCCGACTCACGAATAGCGTGGCCAGTCCTCAAAGGGGCCTGAGCAAGCGGGGGTAGTCAGGTGTCACGCATGAGCTGCCAATGGTTGACATCTAAGTTACACAGGGGAGTACCTTTATTCCGCTTGTAACATCAGGAAATCGGTGATGGCCTTTCGCTGTTCGTAAAGGCGGTCTAAACATATGTAGGGGTTGAATTCCACCTTGTTGCAACGTCACAGCATGAGGAGTCGGTACAGGGGTCCATGGCAGATTAGGGGCCTGGCCGCACAGCAATGTGAGGCCCGTAATCTGCCAGCACCCTATGCCAAAATGGAACCCAGCAGCAGTGTGAGGACACCTGAAAGTGGCACATGGCATGACACACTGTGGACCTGGCAGCAGCATGAGGAGGCGTACAGGGGCCCATGGCAGATTAGGGGCCTGGCAGCAGCAATGGAGAGACGCCCGTAATCTGCCAGCAACCTATGACAAAATGGAACCCCAGCAGGAGTGTGAGGAGACCTGAAAGTGGCACATGGCAGAGTGTGGCGATGGAGACAGCAGCAATGGGAGTCCGTACAGGGGACCCATGACACACTGTGGACCTGGCAGCAGCGTGAGGAGGCGGGTACGGGGGCCCATGGCAGATTAGGGGCCTGGCAGCAGCTATGGGAGGCCTGTAATCTGCCAGCATCCTATGACAAAATGGAACCCAGCCAGCAGGAGTGTGAGGAGACCTGAAAGTGGCACATGGCAGAGTGTGGCGATGGAGACAGCAGCAATGGGAGGCGGTACAGGGACCCATGACACAACTGCGTGGACCTGGCAGCAGCGTGAGGAGGCGGTACAGGGGCCCATGGCAGATTAAGGGCCTGGCAGAAGCTATGGGAGATGCTCGTAATCTGCCAGCAACCTATGACAAAATGGAACCCAGCAGGAGTGTGAGGAGACCTGAAAGTGGCACATGGCAGAGTGTGGCGATGGAGACAGCAGCAATGGGAGGCGGTACAGGGACCCATGACACACTGGTGGACCTGGCAGCAGCGTGAGGAGGCGGTACGGGGGCCCATGGCAGATTAGGGGCCTGGCAGCAGCTATGGGAGGCCTGTAATCTGCCAGCATCCTATGACAAAATGGAACCCAGCAGCAGTGTGAGGAGACCTGAAAGTGGCACATGGCAGAGTGTGGCGATGGAGACAGCAGCAATGGGAGTCCGTACAGGGACCCATGACACACTGTGGACCTGGCAGGCAGCAGCGTGAGGAGGGTGGTACGGGGGCCCATGGCAGATTAGGGGCCTGGCAGCAGCAATGGGAGACGCCCGTAATCTGCCAGCACCTATGACAAAATGGAACCCAGCAGGAGAGTGTGAGGAGACCTGAAAGTGGCACATTGCAGAGTGTGGCGATGGAGACAGCAGCAATGGGAGGCGGTACAGGGACCCATGACACACTGTGGACCTGGCAGCAGTGTGAGGAGGCGGTACGGGGGGGCCCATGGCAGATTAGGGGCCTGGCAGCAGCTATGGGAGGCCCGTAATCTGCCAGCATCCTATGACAAAATGGAACCCAGCTGGAGTGTGAGGAGACCTGAAAGTGGAACATGGCAGAGTGTGGCGATGGAGACAGCAGCAATGGGAGGCTGTACAGGGACCCATGACACACTGTGGACCTGGCAGCAGCATGAGGAGGCGGTACGGTACGGGCCCATGGCAGATTAGGGGGCCTGGCAGCAGCTATGGGAGACGCCCGTAATCTGCCAGCAACCTATGACAAAAAATGGAACACCCAGCAGGAGTGTGAGGAGACCTGAAAGTGGCACATGGCAGAGTGTGGCGATGGAGACAGCAGCAATGGGAGGCCGTACAGGGACCCCATGACACACTGTGGGACCTGGCAGCAGCATGAGGAGGCGGTACGGGGGCCCATGGCAGATTAGGGGCCTGGCAGCAGCTATGGGAGGCCTGTAATCTGCCAGCATCCTATGACAAAATGGAACCCAGCAGGAGTGTGAGGAGACCTGAAAGTGGCACATGCAGAGTGTGGCGATGGAGACAGCAGCAATGGGAGGCCGTACAGGGACCCATGACACACTGTGGACCTGGCAGCAGCGTGAGGAGGCGGTACAGGGGCCCATGGCAGATTAGGGGCCTGGCAGCAGCTATGGGAGACGCCCGTAATCTGCCAGCAACCTATGACAAAATGGAACCCAGCAGGAGTGTGAGGAGACCTGAAAGTGGCACATGGCAGAGTGTGGCGATGGAGACAGCAGCAATGGGAGGCCGTACAGGGACCCATGACACACTGTGGACCTGGCAGCATGAGGAGGCGGTACGGGGGCCCATGGCAGATTAGGGGCCTGGCAGCAGCTATGGGAGGCCCGTAATCTGCCAGCATCCTATGACAAAAAATGGAACCCAGCAGGAGTGTGAGGAGACCTGAAAGTGGCACATGGCAGAGTGTGGCGATGGAGACAGCAGCAATGGGAGGCCGTACAGGGACCCATGACACACTGTGGACCTGGCAGCAGCGTGAGGAGGCGGTACAGGGGCCCATGGCAGATTAGGGGCCTGGCAGCAGCTATGGGAGGCCTGTAATCTGCCAGCAACCTATGACAAAATGGAACCCAGCAGGAGTGTGTGAGGAGACCTGAAAGTGGCACATGGCAGAGTGTGTGGCGATGGAGACAGCAGCAATGGGAGGCCGTACAGGGACCCATGACACACTGTGGACCTGGCAGCAGCAGCAATGAGGAGGCGGTACAGGGCCCATGGCAGATTAGGGGCCTGGCAGCAGCTATGGGAGGCCCGTAATCTGCCAGCATCCTATGACAAAATGGAACCAGCAGGAGTGTGAGGAGACCTGAAAGTGGCACATGGCAGAGTGTGGCGATGGAGACAGCAGCAATGGGAGGCGGTACAGGGACCCATGACACACTCTGGGACCTGGCAGCAGCATGCGGGCTGAGGAGGCGGTACGGGGCCCATGGCAGATTAGGGGCCTGGCAGCAGCTATGGGAGGCCCGTAATCTGCCATATACCAGCACCATGAAAAAATGGAACCCACCAGCAGGAGTGTGAGGAAGACCTGAAAGTGGCACATGGCAGAGTGTGGCGATGGAGACAGCAGCAATGGGAGGCGTACAGGGACCCATGACAACTCTGGACCTGCAGCAGCGTGAGGAGAGGCGGTACGGGGGCCCATGGCAGATTAGGGGCCTGGCAGCAGCTATGGGAGGCCCGTAATCTGCCAGCAACCTATGACAAAATGGAACAACCAGCAGGAGAGTGTGAGGAGACCTGAAAGTGGCACATGGCAGAGTGTGGCGATGGAGACAGCAGCAATGGGAGGACCGTACAGGGACCCATGAGAGACACACTGTGGACCTGCAGCAGCGTGAGGAGGCGGTACGGGGGCCCATGGCAGATTAGGGGCCTGGCAGCAGCTATGGGAGGCCCGTAATCTGCCAGCATCCTATGACAAAATGGAACCACAGCAGTGTGTGAGGAGACCTGAAAGTGGCACATGGCAGAGTGTGGCGATGGAGACAGCAGCAATGGGAGGCCGGTACAGGGACCCATGACACACTGTGGACCTGGCAGCCGAGCAGCATGAGGAGGCGGTACGGGGGCCCATGGCAGATTAGGGTGCCTGGCAGCAGCTATGGGAGGCCCGTAATCCTGCCAGCACCATGACAAAAAAAATGGAACCCACCAGCAGTGTGAGGAGACCTGAAAGTGGCACATGGCAGAGTGTGGCGATGGAGACAGCAGCAATGGGAGGCCGTACAGGGGAACCATGAGACACTGTGGACCTGGCAGCAGCGTGAGGAGGAGGTACAGGGGCCCATGGCAGATTAGGGGCCTGGCAGCAGCAATGGAGGGCCCGTAATCTGCCAGCATCCTATGACAAAATGGAACCCAGCAGCAGTGTGAGGAGACCTGAAAGTGGCACATGGCAGAGTGTGGCGATTGGAGACAGCAGCAATGGGAGGCCGTACAGGGACCCATGAGACACTGTGGACCTGGCAGCAGCGTGAGGAGGCGGTACAGGGGCCCATGGCAGATTAGGGGCCTGGCAGCAGCAATGTGAGGCCCGTAATCTGCCAGCATCCCTATGACAAAATGGAACCCACAGCAGTGTGTGAGGAGACCTGAAAGTGGCACATGGCAGAGTGTGGCGTTGGAGACAGCAGCAATGGGAGGCGGTACAGGGACCCATGAGACACTGTGGACCTGGCAGCAGCGTGAGGAGGCGGTACAGGGGCCCATGGCAGATTAGGGGCCTGGCCGCAGCAATGTGAGGCCCGTAATCTGCCAGCATCCTATGACAAAATGGAACCCAGCAGCAGTGTGAGGAGACCTGAAAGTGGCACATGGCATGACACACTGTGGACCTGGCAGCAGCATGAGGAGGCGGTACAGCCCATGGCAGATTAGGGGCCTGGCAGCAGCAATGGGAGGCCCCGTAATCTGCCAGCACCCTATGCGGTACAGGGACCCATGAGACACTGTGGACCTTGCAGCAGCGTGAGGAGGCGGTACAGGGGCCCATGGCAGATTAGGGGCCTGGCAGCAGCTATGGGAGGCCCGTAATCTGCCAGCACCCTATGACAAAAAATGGAACCCAGCAGCAGTGTGAGGAGACCTGAAAGTGGCACATGTTTGGGGCATGATTCATGGCGGATTTAGTCAGTTGTGTCAGGAACTGGTGGTTTGAAATCCAGACTAATCCACGCCTGATTCATTTTCACAAACGTGAGTCTCTCCACACTTTGGGTGGACAGTCGTGTCCTCCGCGGAGTTACAATACCTCCTGCCGCACTAAACACGCGCTCCGATGCCACGCTACTGGCCGGGCATGACAGCCTTTCAAGGGCAAATTCAGCTAGTTGGGGGGCCAAAGGTCAAGTTTCGTTGCCCAGTAGTCAAGGGGATTGTCTACCTCGGTTGGCAGGGTGCTGTCCAAGTAGGCCCAAGCCTGTTGTTTGAGCTCCTGCTCCAGGTCCACCTGATGCTGCTGCTGCTGCTGCGGCTGGTTAGTAGTTTCCTCACTGCGCTGGTGAAGAAAGCTACTCATCATCGACTGCAGACTGAGGCAGCCGCTGCTGGTGGAGCTGCCACTGCTCCTACCACCCCACCCCCCCCCTCCCCTGCTGCCATGGCAGCGGAACGCGAGCGCACAGGGCCCACAGTGTCTGAGGATGGACGTTGGCGCAGAAAGGCAGAGACCAACTGACTACATAGGTGGTTTTTATAGTACGTTATTTTGGCCTCCCTCTCAGCAGGTGTGAAAAAGGCCACCATTTTTGAACGGTAGCGAGGGTCCAACAAGGTGGACAGCCAAAAGTCATCCCTCTGTCTGATGGTTATTATTCGGCTGTCGCTACGCAAGCAACCGAGCATGCTATGGGCCATTTGTGCCAAGGAATGCGAGGGACTCCCTGCCTCCATCTCCACAGCATACTGCCACGGTGCGTCTGGGTCCTCTGTCTCCTCCTCCTCCTCCTCTACCAGATGCTCCTGCTCCTCCACTCCTGTCCGCTGAGTGGAAAAACCACCCATTTCACTCAATAATTCCTGAGCACAAATGTCCTCCTCTACCTCCTCCTCTTCTTCCTGTCCTGCCCCCACAGGGGTCATGTGGCGTTGAGATCTGTGCGCCACGTCTACCGCACCCTGACCAGCCATTGTTAACAGCATTTGTTCCAGGACGTGCAACAGAGGAATGACGTCGTTCATCCCATAGTCCTGCCGACTCACGAATAGCGTGGCCTCCTCAAAGGGCCTGAGCAAGCGGCAGGTGTCACGCATGAGCTGCCAATGGCTGACATCGAAGTTACACAGGGGAGTACCTTTATCCGCTTGTAACATCAGGAAATCGGTGATGGCCTTTCGCTGCTCGTAAAGGCGGTCTAACATGTGTAGGGTTGAATTCCACCTTGTTGCAACGTCGCAGATCAGGCGATGCTGTGGAATTCCGTTCTGCCGCTGCAGCTCAAGGAGGGTGTGCTTTGCGGTGTAGGAATGGCTGAAATGCATGCAAAGTTTACGTGACATTTTAAGGATGTCTTGCAGTGGGATGGTGGATTTTAGGAACCGCTTGACAACCAGATTGAACACGTGAGCCATGCATGGCGCATGGCACAACCTTCCTTGACGCAGAGCAGACACCATGTTCTTTCCGTTGTCGGTCAACATGGTTCCGATTTTCAGTTTGCGCGGAGACAGCCATCTGTCGATTTCTCTGTTCATTACACTCAGAAGTTCCTCCCCTGTGTGACTACGTTCGCCAAGGCATACCAGGTGCAGCACAGCGTGACACCGTTGCGCCCTGCACATGTGATATGCCGGTCGGGTAATGGGACTTGGCACGGGGGTGGCGGCTGAGGACACGGCGGAAGAAGAGGTGGTAGAGGCGGACATGTTTGCTGGACCAAGGACGTGCAAACGTGGAGGCAAAAGCGTCGTGACCTGTCCAAGTTGCTGGTGCGGCTGTGTGCCGGCACCACGTTCACCCAGTGGGCCGTAAATGACATGTACTGTCCCTGACCGTAGTTACAGCTCCACACGTCGGCGCTGCCGTGCACTTTGGCAGAGACCGACATGCTCAAAGACTGGCCCACCATCTCTTCTTCTACATGTGAATGCAGGGCTGGCACTGCCTTTTTGGCGAAGAAATGACGGCTTGGCACTCTCCACCGCGGCGCGGCACAAGCCATCATTTCTCGGAAAGGTGCTGAGTCCACCAGTTGGAAAGGGAGGGACTGCAGCACCAGCAACTTGGACAGGAGGACGTTCAGCTTTTGCACCGTCGGGTGCGTGCTCGCAAACTGTTGTCTCTTGGAAACGGATTCCAAGAAAGACTGCTGACGGAATCCGTGAAGAGGAGTAGCAGGAGAGAAGGAGCATCTGAACGAGCGGAAGATGCCAACGAGCGACAACTCCCCTCAGCAGAGGTGTTGGAGCCTTGACTGGCTGATAGAGGGCGATTGACGTCGGGTGACGGAGCAAGTAACGGAGCGGGTGATGGAGCGGGGGCTGGGGCAGGCAGAACCGCCGTATCTTTTATCACGGTTTTCCCAGGCCACCAAATGGCGACGCTGCATATGCTGACGCAACGCTGTAGTCCCAACAT